AACCTTTCAACTACGCAATATTAAAATATTTTTATTATGCATCATAGGACCAAGTAAATGTTGATTACATTGAAGACGCGCGGGAAGATAACTATGAGATTACAAAAATATGCCTTGCTGATATTTTATCGACAATCGAACAAGATCAAATTATTGAAATTTGGAGAGTAGTCATTTCTTGTGGATCTAAAAATAACTATGTTGTATTGTTGGTTGATGGGTCTCATAGATGCATATGTAACATTATTATAACCCATGGATACCCGTGCCGGCATTTTTATAAGGTATTACGTTGTTCAACCCAGGCAAAATGGCATATAGGACTTATCGCAGCACGTTGGTATAAAGACAATTTCACTGATATTTGGCAACAACCTCCAATCACTATATGCGCAAATTCAGACCAAGTCCAAGGCCAAGGTGGTGTTGAATATCCGATGTACAAATTTGATTACATAAAACAAGTCCGAAGCGCTGAAGTTTACAGTGAAGCATTGAAAGAAGTTAATAATACACGACAGAAGTATGGTAGAGCGCAAGATATCATGAGAAAAGCACTCGACATAGCGATTGTAACTAATTCATACAATGAATGGATCGGTATTTGTCATGAATTTATATTAGATAAATAAAACAAAGGATCAGATATAATGACAGATGATATTGAATGCAATATTAAGAATCCTGTTATTAGCACATGAAAGGGACGACCATCTGGAAGGGCCAAAAGTATTGTTGAAGTGCAAGATCAGCACATTAAAAAAAGGCAGCATTTACAAAATTTGAAAATTACTGAACATGAAATCAAAGAAAAAGATAACAGAAAAACATGCCAAAATTGTGGAAATAAGGGACACAACAAGGTAACATGCAAAATTAATCAATGTTAAGAATTATGAAAGTAAGGAACACAATACATAGGCAAAATTAATTAGGTTCCGTAGTATAGTTTTATTTAGCATTTTAGACATACGCATGTATTCTACAGTATATGTTATTTGCATTATCAATTGTGAAAGAATATTTCCTTAGTATGCTATGTTTCATCAACTTTGAACGACGTATGTATATACGTACATACAGCAACGTACGTACATATAGTACATAGCAAGTATGAATTTGATTAATTGTTTGCTTTTTGTAGTTAATTATCAGAACAATTCTGTAACTGGTTTGGTAAGTATTATCATTTTATATTCTTTAGTTAATGATATAAGTAGATCAATATCTGAATACAGAGTTTACTAATTGTTTTACCGTTACTCAAATCAATACATATTAAAGCCACTGTAGATCAAAACTACTTATGTAATATTAGAACATGTGAAGTTTAGTATTAGTTAGTAACATGATCGTTAACAGAATTTCAGACTCACATTTTAAGCCAAATTTCTTACAATTCAATTATGTTAGGGATAGCATTTAAATATGGCCAAAAGTTAACAAATTATATAGCAAAATTATTTGGAAAACTTTTTTGTTAAAGCGAAATTCTATTTTAACCTGAGTCAAAATTTGGGACTAGCAATGCCAGTCTAAAAAATTTCGCACGTCATGTGATCTTATTTGAAACTATATAATAAAGTTTTGCAGTTAGGTTTAGAAGATTATAGCTATACCAAATTTTGCAAGAAAAACTTTTTATTAGCGCGCAGAAGGCAGTTTCATAGACTAAATTTTGAGTTATGAGCGATTTTTGACAAAACGAACGTTTGTTTTGAATTTTTTAAACTGGTATTTTAAATACAGTTGAGTCAAAATGACCCTGACAGAATTTTAGGGTTAGTGTGAGCCGGAATTATGTTGATGCCGATCAGGTTTTTTATACTAAAACCCGGCCGGCATCAACATAATTCCGGCTCATACTAACCCTAAAATTTTGCTAGTGTCATTTTGACTCAGGTTAAATAGTATATATTCTTCTTATTGTAAAAAGTCATATAATACTCGGGTAATAATATTATTGTTGTTAATTGTAAAATGTTGTATAACATCTGTGTCACGTGATTGGGTGGTAATTTCCCCCTGGTTAAAATTAGAAATTCTCTATATTAATATCTATATTTTGTTTTAAAAACTTACAGAGAATTTTTAATACTAAAATACTTATATTCTTTTTTATTAGCTTCAAAATCTGGTTGTCTTGTCTTTTGATGATAATTCTTAACAAACTGACTTTAGTTTGTCACTTAGATCCTTGCTTTCTTGCCATCTTTTTATCTACTCTTGCACTATTTTTTTATTACAGCAAATCTGTTTCACTGTCTTATGCATTAAGAACTTGAAGCCTTTTAGATAAGTGATTAAAAAAATGATTTTAAATCACTTATATAAAAGAAGAAGTATTTTTTAATTAGAACTTTGTATATAAGCAATGTGAGTATTTTGTTATATACACTGCCTAAAGAAGTTTAGTATAATCTGCATATATGATATACTATACCTTTATAAATTTTATGCTTCTATATATAAACTTTTGAAAATTACAGATACAAAAAAACTTTTATCAAATACTATAACTATAAAGAGGATAACTATAAAGAGATTTAACTATATATAGTTAAACTCTTCTATATTCATATCTTTAGAATATAAAAAATTATGATTATATAAAAATATATAACTAATATACTATAAAAGTATTTTCTATATATTATTATATAGTTATAAATAATTAATAAAAATAAATTTGTAATTATATTAATTTTGTAATTATAAAAATATGACTATAAAGGGTTTAGGCTTCATAGCTTAGAGATATAACAAAAATCAGATAATTTTTTAGAGAAAGAAAAGTAAAAAATTTAAAATTATATATAAAGCCTGATCAAAATATATATTAAAAGAGGAAAGAAAATAAATTTCTAATAAAAAAAATCAGATAATAAATAATACTACCCTTATTGATTAAGCTTTTATATCCACAAACAAAATCAATAGTTTGAGTTAGACTAGTAACAAATTTTTAAATTTGTTACTATAACCTTATAGAGCTATAATTAGATGTAAAGTCCTATAAAAAATTCAAATACAAGTACTGTTCGAAAGTAGGAATTCTTAGAAAGAAATTTGATTATGGAATATAGACATCATATATGATAGTAGTATCATAAAAGGTTTAGACTATAGAAGATCACATGAATTAGTTCTCTAGTTAGAGTAATTTAGTAATTTAGAGGCAATATTGATATTTTTTACTTCTATATTAGGTAGTACTAACATCCCTATATACAACTTGTAAAGTAATGGGTGTGGTGACTTAGTGAAGTAGTGAAATTATCACACCCCCAAATGGCAAGAATAGAGTTCGAATCCTACCGACGATGAAAATTCAAATTCTTAGTATAGTGTTATGGCAATTGTGAGTGTAAAGGCGGATCAACATCTGTAACTATGTCACACCAGCTCGTATTGGAAGACTGTGAAACAATAGTGTAATGTATAAGTTACATGAAACCTGAGCGAAGCAATCGTATAAATCTGAGGCCAGCACACATGGAAGCCTACTTGGAAGACCTAAGTAGAGAGGTAGCACAGATCTTTGACAGTACTACATAAAGGATTATCAATCAGGAAACCGGAAAACCGAACAGGACCGAAGTGTTTGGCAAGGCACTCCATCAACCAGGCTGCTGGAGAGTACCAGAGGAAAAGAACTTAACTGTGGGAACCAGAAGCAGATCACAGCCCTTCCGGGCCATTTGGATTGGAAGTTTGGGACGATGGGTATATGGCGGATAGTCCATATAGTGGGTGCTAAGGTCTAAGTGAACTCTATAAGGGTGTAGTAGGTAACGGTAGCAGCTTCAGCTCGCAAATACTTGGTCTCGGCCTAGGCGTAAGTTACCGAAGTAGACTAGATAATATGGTATAGTGAGACCGGAATGCTCTAGCAGGTGATGCACTCGAGAATGAATCGGTTAACCATGCCGGTAGTCCTATAGGTGGCACATGATGATCTTGGAACTTGGACTGACTTATGTATCGCATGTTCTGGGTGAGATTAAATGGATTGGCAGGGAAATTTGGATCAGAGGGTTTAATTAGATAACTCAATTAACAGTGGGTTATAGGTATGGCATCTAGTGTAGAATCTAGTAATAGGTAGATACTTAATTAGGTGCTCAAAAGGCGCAAGTATGGCTAGAATGTATCCTTGTCAGAATGTACTTGTCTGGGGTCCCCTTGAAAAGGACACCACATGATCCTAGTATCTAATAAAAGCAGAAAGCC